TTTTGCGCAAAAAAGCCCCGATGGCGAAAATGGCGATCGGGGCTTTCTTGTGCAAAAGCGCGTCTAGCTTGGCACGGACGCTTTTCCGCAAAAAGTGCTTTTGCGCAAAAGCATCCGTGCCAATCTAGATGCTCTTTTCCACAAATGCTTTTAACGGAAAAACTTTTCTGTCAAAAGCATTTGCGGAAAATCATGCCAGTCTAGATGTAGCCTATCAGATGTGCTTGGCGTTGCTCGGGTCCTTAGCTCAATTCTTTTTTAAAATTAAATGAAAATATCCATGCTTCATTTAACTCATTGCTCTAGGATGGGGCTGAGGATGAGGGGGTTCAGGATGCAGACTGTGCTAGGGAGAGAGGACAACCCCAAACCTCTCTCATCACAGTAGCCTGAGGCCAAGAGAAGCGCCCCACCATGGCGGCTGCAGCTTCAGTGGGCACAGCCAGGAGTACGTGTCCCCCCAGCTTGGGCAGGTTCAAGTTCATCTGTCCCCTGTGCTCCCCAGACAGAGTGAGGAATGCAGCAAGCTGGGCACTTTCCCCTTGCAGCATGACACCAGCATTTGGGATTTAATTACAATCATCCTTGTTTCATTTTGATTATGATGGTCCACATTGATTTAGCCACCTCTTCCATAACACCAGGAGCAACTGCATTGTGGCCAGCCTGTCAGATTTCCCTGGAAGGAGCTTTGATCTCTGCAACCCTTAAATGAAACATTGATGGATATTAGAGGCCTGCTCTGGGCAGGATACTGGTGATACACTCCAGTGTCCTAAGGTTTCTGTAGCGATGGAGTTCTTCTGGGAGATATTCTGCTTTGATTTCATGCCCTATCTTTTTCCAGAATAACTTTCAGGTGTACAATAAGATCTTATTTGCACTAATCAGGAAAAAAGATCATGTGATCAACTTTCTGCCAGTACCCATCAGCAAGGACATGGAAAATCACAGTTGACTCACAGCTGGGGAAAGCTAGCTTAGTCACATGGTTTCTGGGAAGGGGAAGTGCAGGTTGGGACAGCTGCTGTATTGACAGAGCAGCGTGTGTGGGGGTGGGGAGGCCAGGGCTAAGATAGCAGGAGGCTGCAGGGCAAAACTGAGGGGCACTGTTAGAGCTGGGCCATGGGGAGCCCAGGGCTGGGCTAGTAGGGGCTGTGGGTTGGGATTGAGGGGTGCTGGCAGAGCTGTGTGAGTGGGGAGCTCATGGCTGGGCTAGTCAGAGGCAGTGAGTCAGGACTGAGGGGCACCACCCCATGCTCTCCCCCCAGACAACATCAAGGCCTATTTCAAGCGGGGGAAGGCGCATGCATCCGTGTGGAATACAACGGAGGACCAAGCCGATTTCGCCAAGGTGCTGGTGCTGGACCCGTCGCTGGGCCCCATGGTGGCCAAGGAGCTGCACAGCCTGGAGGCAAGGGCATCTTCTCCCAATAGTGGCCGTGCCAGGGAGCAGCTGGGGGCTGCCAGAGGGGGCTGTGCAGGTTGAGGGGCTCTGCTGATCCCCAGCACCATCGTGCCCCCCAGCAGAGCCCAGGCTACAGCAAGCAAGCAGCTCTGTCCCTCCCTCTGTGCTTGGCCTGACTCCCGCTCAGTAGCCAGAAAAGTGATATTTATTCCTGGACTCTCTACATGAAGCCTCCTCAGAACCATGAGCAACCCAGCGGCCCCCTCCGCGTCTCTCGCGCACGGGGGCCATGCCCCGCTTCATAGCTGGAACAGCTGTTCGCAGCATTCCAGCTCCAGGAGGCAGCGCAGGCACTGGGGCTCCATTGCTCCGCCCCCTCCCGTGACGCACGCCGGGCTCCGCCCTTTTCCTCTCTTCCCGCGCGCTCTCTCCTTCGCCAACGAGAACAGCCGCGGCCTCGCGCCCCCCAGCCAATCAGCGCCCGCACTCGCCTGACACTCCCGCCCCCCCCCTTCGCG